CTATTTGCCTGGTGCTGACCTTGTGCTTCACGCGACTTGGCTCCGTCGCTTCAGCATTTCGCCCCTTCCAGTGGGAGCGCGGCTGTGGTACAAGGCCCGCGACGGATTATGGTGGACAGGACGTATTGGTGCTCATCAGGACGGCTCGTACATCGTTCGATTTCTGGATGACCCGGGCCCCAGCGTTCTCCCTCTGCCTGCGCACCTCTACTCCACCGCCTTGGACGCCGTCTGTGGATCGTGGTGTTTAGAAAAACATCGCTCGCGCCCTTTGGGCGACGCCCGGGATCGCACTCCTCCCATTACTGACTCCTTACCGTCGGCTGTTCCCAATATCTCTTCCTAGCGTCGCCGTTTTAGGTTCGAGTTGGTCTATCTTGGATTTTGTTTGTTTGTTTGTTTGTTTGTTTGTTCGTTTGTTCGTTTGTTTGTTTTTTCTTTTTGTTTTTGTTTTCTCCCTGTGGTTTGCCTCTGAACACCTGGAAAAAGAGTTCCCCAAGTTTCGTCGGTATGTTCGCCTCTGACCAGGCAAACACCGAGTTTCTCGTGTTTTCCTTGGTTCGCCTTTTGCCAACTCATTTTTTTTTTTTTTTTTTTTAGCTCCACCGTGTCGCCGAAGTGTCGTCTAGGCCTGTTATTTCGGGCTTCCATCCCGTGGCGTCGTCTTCTCCCGTGGACATTCGTCGTCATCCACACTTCGTTCTACTTCGTCTTCGTCATCGATACCTGCAGGCGACGCCTTCATCATCGTCGAGCCCTTGAGTCGTTGTGTTGTTGTGTGTATCTCTGCGACTTTTCTGTGTTGTTTGAGTCTTTCTGTGTTATGCGTTTCCAGGGAGCCAGGGCAAGTTCGTCAGATCGCTTCTCAGACGTTGATCATTCATGCTTTGCATTCTTGGTTTTCTTTAGGTCTTGCCGTGGCCGCCTCTCTATACGGTTTGAGTTCTCTGACACGCTGGAAATTGTTGTCAGTGTGTTCGCCTGTCATTCATTTCTCCTGCCCTTCTTTGACGCTTCCCTAGATTGGTTGCGTTGATATCTTCCCCTTTACGTCGCGTCCAGTATCAAAGGCCGTATTCGTTCGGAAATTTGTTTGGGTTTTGAGTTTTGTTGCCGTATTTTGGGGCTCTCTCGGGTAGTCGCCCTCATTCCTCCCATTGTCATACGCGCGGATGCGCGTAAAAGCGTGGTGTGTGGCGTTTAGGTTTTGACTTTATTTCTCTTGCCGTCGTCTGTTGCGGATCGCGTGCTGTGCAGCACTACATATTTTTCTTGGCCTTATCCCTTCATTGGTAGGAGCGTTGTCATTGAGATGTCGATGTGTTGTCTCATGGCCGTTCGCATCCATCTTTCGTCTCAATGATGGTGTGGGGATTGATTCGGGATGTTTCTACAACTCACCCTCCTTTTTGGATGTTTTGTGAAGAGTCATATCTTCGATTCATGAGCATCAATCGTCACCTAAAATCTTCGTTGTAGCTTTTAGGATTTGAGCATTGGTTTGAGTATAGAATCTGCATATATGATATTCAGGGTGGGCTAGTGTTAAGGAGTGTGGCTGCTAGCTTAAATAGGGTACATCTTATTGTTGATAGGATGTGGGTCGGTCCCAGGAGGTATACCCTTCAGACACCTACCCTCTTACGATTTGTCTAGTCTGCGTACCCCCTGAGGTGAAGTTGGATCCCCACTTCACCTCAGACCCTTGCTGATCGTCTCTCAGCAATAACAAGCTACTTTCTCATCTCAACGTGATCGTGGACAAGCGTGTCAACGACAGAACCTACCTTCATCTATCTCTAGGAGCAAGCTACCGCCCACGGCTTCCCCTCCTTTAAATCTACATATTAATATGCATGGACGCGTTTTTTTTTTGTCGTTGTTGCACGGACACTTGCTTGCATTAGTCGCCGCTGTATGTATCGGACGGGGTATAGGGCGTAGAAAAACCCGTCACAACACAGCTAACTCCACACTCTTACGACCATGATCAGTCGGCGTCTCGTCGATACGATAGTCGCAGGTGGGCATGATGAAGGTCGCGACCCGTCCCCAGTCGTGCGATGTAAAATTATAAAAGCAAAAGTTGGACTGCGTAAAGATACGGCGGTCTTCTTGGCAGTGCCAAAGGACAATGGAAAAATGCCGCAGGGGACATACATGTCCCTATATGCTGTCTGGGAAATCGTAGACATACAGGTAGCTTTTTCTGACGTTATGAATTCATTGCTGATCTGACTCTGACTCACCTATGACAGAGATGGATTCGTTGTGTCATATTCAGAAAAAAAAAAATTGCATCATGTCGCAAAAAAAAAAAAAAAAGGTGAGCGGGATAATAATAAATAGAACACCGTATCCTCTGTTGTTGCAGGCACGTTTGCTGCACAACCAACACGGGAACCCAAACCACTCTCGTCTTCCGGCGTAGAAGACTGCATGACGCAAGCACCGGTAGGAGAGTGCGGGAAAGATGCCGTGACAGCACAACTCCACTCTTCTACAACATCTATGCACAGTAGTACTGCCGTCGTCGGAGTACCATATATGTGGAAGATCTCGGGGGGGTCCTCCCGCGCAATAACGACAACGTCGCGAGAGCCCTGCGTGTGTATCTGTCGTCGATACACGAAGCAGCGGCACGACACAAGAACGGATGTTTACATCGCGTTGTAGTATGGTTCGCCGTGGCAGGAAGTATCCCATCCAGTTGGTCTGTAGTAAAAACACAGCAGCACGGTAGTCGAGCTATGCATGCAATTTTTTGCTGTGGCTGCAGGCATACTTTTGCCTCCACAACTCGAGAATCCCACTGCTGTATCTCGACCTACAAGACTCCAAACAACAAAGCAGCGCTGGCAGAAGTGCGTGGAAGATGCCGTCACAACACAACTCAGTCGACACTCGCCAACTTCTATGTACAGTCGGCGTCTGGTCCATACCGCTGTACGAAGAAAAATATCACAGCCATTTTTTTTTTTTTTTCCATACTAATACGTAACAAGAAATGTGTCACGTCACGACGACCATCCTGTAAGTATATATATAACATGATGCATACTTGAGAGAGTTGGTTGACCAAAGACACGCGGGACCACATCGGGAAAATATCCCTTCATGGCATAGCCCGAGGAACGTTTCGGGAAAACTTTCACCAAATAATTGGAAATTTGTATCTTCGTCTTTTTTTGTCACAACAGGCATGCCCATTCATACTACACAACCTCCCGAGAGGCAAAAAAGCTGCAGATTTGGGCTTCGTCGTACAACGTGGAGGGACTTCATTCCATACATCATCAACAGACTACGGACTGATACGGATACGGTTGAGTTCCGAGGCGGATTCATTTTTTGCTCTCTGGCTCGGACCAAGAACACACCCACCCACCCACACCAGCGCACACACACGCTTTCCTTTCCTGTTTTCGGGGATCAAGGGTTCGCCGAGGCGAGATGAGTGTCGTTCAGGTGCAGGGAAGGGACAGGCCAAGCGGGTTCGTGTACGAGCCTATCGATGCTAACACAGGCGGTTGCAGCCGACGACGGCGGCCGCGGAACGTCCTGGTCGCCTGCGCTCTTTTTTGCGCCGTCGCGCTCGGCATGGCCGCAGTGAAGATGTCGTCCCAACTGGACCAGTCCACCGTAACAATAATTCATAAATTCCTCTCTACTTGTACTCTCTTTGCCTGTGCTTCCAAACTATTACCATGTGGTACCAGCACTATCGTGCAGCCAAAGTGGTAGATCTTAGGTATTACGGTCGGGGACGGTAGACACTTATTGCAGTGCAGCGTCCGGTATGTATATAAGTATACCCAACTACCCAATCAGGGCCGTTGGGCGATTCGGCGAGATGACCTCGAGGGACGTCTCATCTAATCTCCACATCTCCACGCGCGAACAAACACGGGCGAACAAAGAGCCTCATGTAGCTAGCATTGATGGGATGAATCTTCTGGTTGGTATTTTCATTTTGCTTTGCTTGGATAGGTGCTAGACTACAGCAGTAGTAGGTCCTGACGTGTGGGTAGGTGCTAGGTTGGTGGGCGTTGGAGCAGGCCTACAGGTTGCTCGTGAAGGACTGCAAGATGATGGTGTGGGTACATGGCTTTGTTATTCGCATACCCGCGTGGGTGCAACGAGTATTTTCTCGTCCAGAAAATGACGACGTGATCGCGCATTTGCCCCATCGGTGCGAAAGGTTGTTGTTGTTGTCTTCACATTCAAAACCGTTCCGATCTCTCTCTACCCAGTACCTTCGTATATCCGTACTGATCCAACACTCGACGCGGCCGATTCCCGTGGTCACAGGTTACTACCCTAAAGGGGTACACTCATTTAAACTGGCCCCGAGGGGTCCGCAAGTCAATAGAAATCAACGACAGATATTCTGGAGTCCTCCACTCCCTCTGCGCGCTATGCGAGGTATCAGCTGAGACTGGGAGTCACTATCACGGGCCGGAGAGAAAGAGGTACACCCCCTTGGTTCAATCTTGGTACATACTTGACGACGCAAAGTACCACAGCAGTACATGCCACATACGTTTTTTCGAGTAACATGTGGTATGCATACTTGAGAGAGTTGGTTGACCAAAGACACGCGGGACCACATCGGGAAAATATCCCTTCGTGGCACAGCCCGAGGAACGTTTCGGGAAAACTTTCACCAAATAATTGGAAATTTGTATCTTCGTCTTTTTTTGTCACAACAGGCATGCCCATTCGGTTGAGTTCCGAGGCGGATTCATTTTTTGCTCTCTGGCTCGGACCAAGAACACACATACCCACCCACACCAGCGCACGCACACGCTTTCCTTTCCTGTTTTCGGGGATCAAGGGTTCGCCGAGGCGAGATGAGTGTCGTTCAAGTGCAGGGATGGGACAGGCCAAGCGGGTTCGTGTACGAGCCTATCGATGCTAACACAGGCGGTTGCAGCCGACGACGGCGGCCGCGGAACGTCCTGGTCGCCTGCGCTCTTTTTTGCGCCGTCGCGCTCGGTATGGCTGCAGTGAAGATGTCGTCCCAACTGGACCAGTCCACCGTGCAGGGGTTGGCCAACCCCACAACCTTAGCTGCAGGAGACGATGGGGCGAGGTCACCTAAGCAGCAGGAGGAGCAGCAGCACCAGCCCCGCATGTCGTTGTCGACGACGAACAGAGGTCCTCTCCTGGTGAGGGTATCGAACCACTACCAGAACGTCAACACGACGCACGGCACGACCGACTTGTCTACATACCCGTGGGAGCACGTCGCAGAGCCGTACCAAGCAACAAGGCTGGAGCTCACAAGCGTACCGGAGGGAGTCAGAGGCGGGTCGCACATCAAGTAAGTGCGCGGGTGTGTTCGCGGTCGGAACGGCAATCATTCTTGGTTTGGATTATGTAAATAATGATGAACTTGAACGTGCGTTGGGCGGGCTGTGTCGGTTTCGGAGACAGACAGACCTGGAGAGACGTGACCAATGCAGTCACGGAAAACTGAGGTTGCGTTGTTGGTTGTTTGCGCCCGGCACTGCACTGGATAATAACCTGATTTGGCCCAAAGTTGGGGCCACGCTGCTTCTGTGTCGCTCCACGTGATCATCTACTTATCTCATTATTACGCCCGAGGCCAAGCCGATCTCCGGAACGAGTGGACACCCCGAAGTTGCGAAAATCATACTCTGTCACTAACTTCGATTGATTCCTATTTGAACAACTACCAGATAGAGACCCCGCGGTCGGCACGCGTGAGAATATCGACTAGCAGTAGTGACGCTGTATTTTGTCGTTTTGACGTCGGAAACAGCAAAGCAGCGTTGCTTCGTGTTGCGTGGGTGGGGTACAGGCTTGGCACACGCCTGAAGATAAGTTTGTACACAAAAGTTACAAGAGTTATCTCTCAGGGAGTAGATGACATACACACACGCGCGCACCTCCCTCTTTATCATTTTACCATGTTGTCTCCGCGGCTAGCATACGACTGCTCGTTCCTGGGGGCTCGGTCTAGACTAGAGCCCTACCCGAAGTTGTTGGATGTGGCACACACCTCGTACGGAACAACTGCTGCCTCAAAAAAGAAGGATAGTTTGTGACAGCGTTGCCTCTCAGAAAAGAAGGATAGATAGTTTGTGACAACAGCAGCCAGCCCACAGCAGCATTTGGGACCCTTTCTGTCTGGGCGGAGGATAGTTGTTGTTGTTGTTGTTGTTGTCTTCAGTTCCGGCCTCCGCTCAGTACCTTATCTAGTATCCGTCTGGTCCAACTGACGTACGTTGTAGACGCCTTCCGTGGTCACAAGCCAAGTACCCAAAGGGGGGCGTACCTTTCGGGTAAGGGAGGTACATTTTTTTTTTTGTCAACCAGGAAGGTCATTTGTGCAGGTCGAAGTTAATGTTTTGGCGCAGCAAGTAGCTGCGGTGCCCTACTCGCTGCTGTTGACGTCACAACAAGAACTGTTTGTTGTGAGGATTTACGGAATGTGTGAGCAGCTGCTCCGTGTGAGAGCGCAAAATCTCTGCAGTTCCTGCGTTTATATTTGTGTGTGCCGAAGAGACGCGGCGTTGATAGTCGTAAACGTAGACTACGTCTGTATGATGTGTCGCCCCAGCGTCGCTTGCAAGAAAGAGTGGGTATGAACGTAAGTTTATCCAAAACGTAGTACTGCTGCTGTAGTCTAGTCTATACCGTGTGCACGCCTTGTTCAACGATCTATGTTCACTAGTCTTCTATGTGTACACTATACTAGTCTTTACTGCTGTAGTTCCGGGTGCCGGACCATCATTCGATCGAAATCCCTGCAGCGGAAGTAGATGCGCACGCACGCCTCTGATGAAACACTTGCGGCCGGCCATAAATGACGAACGGGTTTGTGTGTCCATGTGCATATGCTGCTGGATAGGGCAATATTATACAGGGGCGCAAGGACGCGGTTGGACAAGCGTGCCTGCCTGCAACCTGGCAGGCGTTGCGTGCTACTTCATGAACAAAAATCAATCCCTCCCTTCCATGGTTCTTCAAGTAGTCTACATGCAAGAGAGGCGAAAGAGAGCGTTGTTTTTTTTATATGGTGTCACCGAGGTTTAATCAACCATTAAACTTCCACGCACACGCCTTCGTTTTTAGCGCCGTCGTTCTCTTTTTTTTTTCCTCTTTCCTATTAAAAACACGTGCGTGCGTGCGTGCGTGCGTGCACGATACATACAGCAATCTATGTAATCTGCTGGGCGCACGTATCCTCCAACGTTTTTTTACCTTCCTCCTTTATCCGCAAGGTGTTAAGCTGGTACTCTCAGAGAGAAACAGAGTAGATTGGACGAAAAGTCCAACATGTTATTGATGAGTGTCAGGTGTTCGCGAAATTACGCCTGGTTTGCGCCCGAAGCACTGCTGCGGGTTTACGTTGAAGTCGACGTAGGCAGCTCGATCCCCGCTCTGCTCCCATGAAAGAACATGACATCGTCACGACAACAATAATATCAAATGTCCATGTACGTTTATTGCATGTATTATATAATAGTCAAAACCGACAGCATCCACCACGTCTCCTTAGGTTCGGTAATGTAACAACATATGTGTACGTACGGGCCTGTGTGTATGTGTATATCGACTAGTGTATTACGGGGCGCATTGCATGTGTGCGTCTCCTGCCTCTTTTTTCTTTTTTGTGTACTAGTCGTTTCCCTCCACTGCTGCTTCTCGCCCCCCGGTGTGTCGCAACGAAAAACAAACTAATCTTTTTTGCGACGTAACGCGGACGGGACAGATGGACGATCGAGGGCGAGACGGCCGCGGAGGGTGAAGACAAGTTTTTTTTCAACACGGTGGCGTTCACAACCCCAGGGAAGTACAAGGCAAGCGTCAGAATATTTTTGGGATGAACACACATGAACAGCAGTCAGTCGTCCCGGTGACCGAGGTGGTAACAACGAAGCGGTAACACCGTAAACCTAGTATAATAGTTAAGTCCGCCGCATTAACAAAAAACTACTGCGTGACCTTCGCCTGTGTGACCTTCCCCTGTGTGACCCCGACTGTACGCCAACCTATTCACCGCAAGGTGCGTGTGTCAGTGTTGGAGAGATTGGATTCGAGAACAAACGCCTTCGATCGATGTTGTTTTCTTTTCGTCCAGGTCTCGATCTTGGTAAATCGGCAAATATGTTCGAAAAAGGCAATATGCGATCTCGATCTTCATCACGATCAATCTCAACCAACATCTGTCAAAATCGCGATCACGCCGGTTTCGACAAGGAAAGGGAGTTCCTCAGATGGATTTAGTGAGGGGGGAGAAGATCGAAAATTATCGAGAAAAATATGGCGATTCAATCTCGAGATTGGTGGATTAAATCGGAAGACTGTTTCTACCAACCAAGTCAGTCTCCATCACCGGTGTGTATCCTGGCGCCAGAAAAGATGACACGAACAGACCCGCATTGCAAGTATGCATACCTCCGAGTCGAACAGCCGTATGCATCCAGGGGGGTGCGGACGACCCGTCGCCAGATGCCTGCCCTCCGCCCCCTCGGTTCCCTCTCAGCATATAAACTCTTGTAGGTAACTACTCGCTGTATAGTCTAGTGTCATCGAGTGCTGCAACGGTCCGAAAATATAGACTTGTCGTCGGCATCGCTGGTTCTAGATTTCTTCCCGGATACCTCACTCGCCGTCTACCCGGTCACCTTCCGACCCCCCCCGGGTCTTGCTCGAGTTGGTCACCTGAGTTCGACCGAAACCTTACTCCCCTCCCTTTCGCACGAGGTTGCTTCATCCCCCAGAGCGAACGGCAACGAACCACGTCTGCCTAAGGCCTGCTCTCGGTCATGTATGCTCCTTGACCACCTCGCTTTGCGCTGCTTGCCGCCTCTTGTCTGTGGACCCTAATCGACCGCTGGTACCACAGTAACACGCGCGTTTGTACCCTACCGCCGTACGCACTGCTGTGTTTTAATTAGTGCGTCGTCTCGGTGCAGAACCCGAGCACGATCAGCACGGCGGCGGCAAGGACATCCGTCCCCGAGCATGAGACCGCCGCCGCCGCTGGCGGCCATGGCGTCGTGGCGGCATCCGACTCCATCATCTCGTACGCTGCCGTGGCCGCCACCACCAGTACCGCCGGCGAGATCTTCGAGTACGAGTTCGCGGTGACGGTGAAGTACGTGCGCCGGGAGATCCGGTCCCTGACGGATCGCGACAGGGAGACTTTTTTCAACGCGGTGGCCGTGCTGCAGCGGGTGCCGAGCGCCGTCGGCCGTGCCGTGTACGGCGACAAGTACTACAGCAAGGACTACTTCAACCGGATGCACCTGTACTACGGTGAGGAAATCGTCGATCTACCGAACGAAGAAGGCGATACAAAATGCACGGTCGTTGTGGTTAAATTTTCCGATTATCACTAGTCTATGCCGAAGAGAAAGTGCTGAAATCATAGCAGTGCCAAGGTGAGCCACATGCAAGGATTTGATTTCTCGTCAAGATATGTCCAGCTAACGTTCTATGTATCGATGGGTTTGTTTTCGGATGGGATATCCGCCAAACGAGAGGATTTTGACACGCACGTCTGATGTTTTTTGAAACAACGTTTGTTTGTAGGAAGGAGCCGGACAGTGCAAAACATCGACTTTCTTCTCGAGCACGCAAAGGTCGCGTGGGTGTGTTGCCGATCCCGGTACCACCATGTCCTATCCGATGATACCCATTCCCGGTCGTGTCACCAGTGGTACACGGGAGTGTACGCCACAATCATACAATAGTGGCCGATTGTGTCATGAGATCAAGAAGGGTGGAAAAAAACATTGGGAAGGCCCACCCACTGCTGACTGTATACCACCCGCGTCGGGAGGGTGAGAGGCGCGTGGGGCAGGTTTCCACCCTCCGACCGGCAGATGATTGGACGTAAGGCAAACAGTACCTCCTGTAAATAGAATCTCGGGGTGTTTGCCAGAACATAATTATCTCGGGATATCTCGGGGTATTGTCCTCCAAGCTGGGACGTCATCCGGATACATGCGTTAGTAGTGCTTTCTGCAGAATTTGGTTCTTGGAAGGACGACCATGGTTCTGGCGCGATACCTGAATCAAAGGAGTCTCCGGGGAAGCTGTGGAAGGGCGTCACACAAATGACATAATAAACCACACCGCCCGGACCTATTTCAATTTTAATTATTCCAAAGCAGAAACAGCGGCGGTGCCGAGTATGGCGGCATTGGAACCGCCTCGCCAATAGCTTTCCGAAAACGCGTCATCACATGGTTCGTGCATGCTCTTCGTCATGGAGTAATCGAGCTTTGAAAACCGGCTCAAGGGGAGTGGTATCTTATGTATTTCACCTACGGTAGTACCGGTTCGCCCTCCCGATCGCCCCCCATTCCCTCTCACTCTCTCTTTCTCTCTTTCTCTCTTTCTCTCTCGAATCCAAGAACCGACACCACACCTTCAGGCAGTAGGCTAGTTGAGTCTACGAGGGTGGCGAGTGGGAACGTCGACAGCATTGGTCGTCACGAAAATATGAAACAATGACTCACACCTGAAGGACGGCTGGGTTCAAGTATTTCTACACGGCTCGATCATAGGCGGATCCCCAGACATACAGCCTACTGCTGTAGTCCCACCGTACGTCGAGGTCCACCTCTACCACAAAAATTGCACTACTGTAACATTTATTTTTCCTCCCCGCCCGTTCTTCCGTCCACCGACGGCCACGACACGACTACACCGGAATGGCCCCCCGTGAAATCGGGTACAGGCGGAGCCCGGGACTGCGACCACTGGCACGCGGGCGCAGGCTTCGTGACCTCGCACATCGCCATCACTCTCATGTACGAGCAGGCGTTGCAGGCGGTGAACCCGTCCATCGCGCTGCCCTACTGGGACGTGACGATCGAGGGGACCTACTACGACTGGAACGACTTCCGCACGAGCTCGGTCTTCTCAGACGATTGGTTCGGCGATGCCGCTCCTGGAAACGTGAGACCGGCAACAGTTTCCGCGGGAGCCGATTGTTGTTCGCACTTACCTACAGCCGTAGTTCTTACACATGCACAATGTACTACACTGCGTGTCTTGGTTCCGACCGCCGCGCTCTAGGATAGCGAGGCATTTCGTCATGTGGAACAATTACACTGTCTCGACTCTCTCTCCTTCCCAACACCGGTTCACCTCAAAATAATTCCAGGTGACACGTGGAAATGTGTGTCTTGCCGTATCAGGGAAGCCTGCCGAGATGCGTTGCCGAAACATAACGAAGAACAACACAATATACCCGCGGGCACAACACCCCACCCCGCCTCGAAAGCGAGGCGTGGTCAGCGTACGATTGACCGACGGCAAGCAACAAACGATTACCCCTTGTAACCCCCCGTATCGTCCGAAACGCCATCCATCAATGCAAAACCCGCTGCGACGACAGACTGCTAGAACGCCGACCCAGGGGAGGTTCGCGTACGTCCCCGTTATGACCGACGCTCGCGAGTACTCCGCGCAGTACAACTCCTACGGGCTGCTTCGGTCCGCGTGGAACAACGACCGCAACCCCTACCTCACTCGCCACGACCACCAGTTGGGCATGATGAACAACAAGAAGCCTTCGGGCTGCCGGCGCTACCGCGACGCCTACGTCGCGGAGGACTGGTGAGTGTCGCGTTCGGACCGATGTGCGCGCTTTTTATCGTTGGGGACGTACGGACGATCGGGGGGGATGATGGGGCACCGACGCAGGAGAGTGCTGCGTGACAAACCTTTACAATTCACAAGCGCTTTCTCACCACAGAAAAATCTGTACTGTACAATTTTGGAATCAAGCACCCAAGCAGTTTTGGGAGGTATGGGAGGAGATATTTGAGAGAAATTGTTTTTTCCACCAGCCAAACAACAAAATGAAAACTAGACGATTTCACGCAGTGTTTCTTGGAGGGTTGTAGCTCGTGGAGGCGTGAACGGGGAGCAGGCTGGTCGCAATAAGTGGGGCGGGCCATAGGTGGGAACAAACGGCTGCCCTCTGGTTGTGATCCATGTATGTGTAGGACGTGTCCTGCTCCGTCTCCCTTTCTCCACCCCCTCCTCTTTTCGCGTTCTGTGCTGTCAAGGGTTGGCTTTACAGAGACATGGGTCTATCAGCGGTTGTCGAATCAATACATTTTTGACATAGATTTTTTGCTTGCCCTTAATTTTCTCCTCGTTGGTCCCTTCCCCCTGCCCTGATCATTCGAAGGATGAAGCTCACGGAAGCCTTCAATGGCGGCGCTCACGGCAACATCCACGGGCTGTTGGGTGGGACGTGGTCTCCCGAGGCGGACGAGTACGCCGCGGTCACGCCGTACATCGTGATCCCCTTCGTTCACCACGCATACGTGAGGGGGGAAAAGAGCGACTGCGGCCGTGGCTTTAATTCAAGTAGCTGTAGTGTAGATAAATGTGTGTGTGTACGTGTATGTATTGTGCTGCGTGGCGACGAGGGGTGGTATGTGTTGAAGATACAATAGCGGCGTTGGTTTGGCATGACCGGGGGCAAGTGCGATGAGAAGGGAAGCAACGAGGGTCAAGTTGGTATTCGCGAAAAAGAGGGAAACACGTGGTGCGTATGGACAGGTGCACTCGCGCGGGCACTTTTGTTGTACCCTTGGCTGGGGTCGAGACATTTGCTCATTCAAGGTTGCCAACATATGTAAGGAAAGGGGTGGAGTTCACCTTTCATGCGACAGCCTGAACGCTCCGCGCTTACATATAGTGTACCATAGCATTTCAGCCGATGAGTTTCGTCCCCGCTTTGCGTGGGTGCGAAGTCTTACGGCCACCGACATGTACGATGATGATGAGTGCACCCCCTGGGCTCTGTTGTTCATGTTTTTCCGACGCGCGGCAGATCTCGCAGAAGATCTTGTGGCGGGAGAATGCCATCGAATGCCCAGAGAGCTGCACGTTCGATCAGGGTTGGAAAGACTGCCAGTGCAAATGCAGCGAGTCACTCATGGAAGGGAGGTCAGCGGCCGAGGTCAGTGCCGCGTCTCGTGTTATTTTTTGTCTGCGTGATGATGTGTGTTTTCGTACCATCCACAGCGAGCGGCTTTGCTTGTTGACTTCGCGGCTCAAGTGGTGTATTTCAATGCTATTGGAGTCTCGATATATGATTGAAGGCAGATATTTCAGCCGCTTGTAGCGATCTCTTAGACCAACAAAACGGCAAACAGAAATGGGACGGAAGACAAGGGTGACTTTTCATCGAGTGTCGTACTGTTTGGCATCGAACGTAAGCACCGCAGGGAAACGTGGGACAATACCAAACAACGCCCCGAATTTCCTTCCTCCTGTGTGGCCCAAGCTGATCCCTTAACACTGTTTCGGAAGGTGTAGAAGGTATCGCAAGCACAAAACTCACCACTAAACCACTTTCCTGACACCAACCGAGAATGCCAGATGGAATTTCTGACCTCCAACAAGCACACAGGCAGCTGGCGCGCTCTTGCTGCAATCAGCTGCACCTTGTGTCACGCCCCTACCCCCCCCACCGATTGTGATCACCCATCCTCCCCTCTCCCTTTCCTTCCCACCCTGAACTGGCACCGTGACGTCATACAGTTCCTGGAGTTAGGCGATGTCCTTACGACGGGATACTTCTACGATGCGGACTACCAAATAGTCCGCAAGCTGGCTGACTCGGATGTACGTCTCGAGTCTTCCCTTTGCCGTGTTGTCCACTTTTTGTTCGATGCGGGCGACGCTCAACGCGAATACAACGTTTTTCTCCAGGCACACCTCATCGGCGAAATTGTTGTGAACACAAGAGCGGCAATTCTCCATAAGAGAAATGAGCCGCGAATACCCCCAACATGTTGGCTCCGCGCACATTTGTTTTGTTTTGTTCGTAGCGCCGAGAGGACGTAGACAGTGGTGCGTAGGGACGCCGTCTATGCACTCGTTTAGTGCGGTTGTATCGTCGCGTTTTGATTGGCCGATTCCTTAAATTGCAGTTTGACATTCGACCAACGTGTTTCACAAGTTGCCAATCTTCGTTTCTCTAATTTTTGCCGCTTTTTCGACCGCCCGTTCTGCCGAGGTATGTATGCTGGCAACCAGGTTGTTGTTGTTGTTGTTGTTGTCTTCACACGTTAAGAACCGTTCCCATCTCTCTGTCCAGCACCTTCTTCTGTCCGTACTGACACCAAACTTGATGCGGTCGATTGATTCCCGTGGTCACCGGCATATTATTGTTTGTTCGTCGGGTGTCATGTCTTGTCGTTGTTTGCTTTCAACAGGGGCACTACTACGAAGAGATCCCCAACTACTCCGCCGAGGAGTCCACGGCGATTTACGAGGGGTTGAAGGACGCGCTGTGCATCCCGACAAAAGTCGGTAGCCATTTCGAAGCCACGAGCACCAACGACGTGAGTGCCCACAAAGGAACCGCTACTGCTATCGTACGAGCAGGAATGAAGGCCTAGCCTACGGAGGGGCAAGGAACTGCAGACTAGTCCTGTACCGTGCTAAACAATGATACGGTAGGGCTTCTCTTGCACGTATCCCCGACCATACTATCGTGCGAATCTCGAGGTTTTACATCAAGTTATCCTCCGACCCAACCAAGTACATCCTCCCATGTCGTCAACCACTTGTTGCCCTTTTCTTTCGCCACGAAACCGTCTGTAACAACACATTTAGCTCCATGCGGGGGTCAAGAGCCCAACCGCGTTGTTGTTGTTGTTGTCGTTGTCGCTGTTTTTGTTGTTGTGCCAACTGTTTCGCTGTGCTCGTGTTTGGTTTCCATCGTGTGTCCAGGTGACCTTCTGGGTGCTTCACCCTACCTTCGACAGGTGAGCAAGCGCAGAAAAAGTTGGTCTGAGATGCACTTAATCCAAACCGAGAAAGGATTCACTGGACAAGACTGACCTCCGGGAGGCGTTTTGCTTGCCATGGGGATGTTGCTTCGCGCGCGTGAAGGCTGTGTTCTTGTTGGTTGGAGACTGCCAGAAATGTAATGAGCGATCTTGAAAATCGAAAAGAAGTCGTCCGATTGGCGTTACTCGTGACTCTGACTTGATTTAAGCACCACCCTCCCATCGTTAGCCGCATTCCGCACGCAACTCTTGTAGGCTATCCCCCAATCAAATGCTGGAGTTGGAGGCTATCTGTCTCGAGTAGGAAGTTGACAGTGTCTTGCCACGTGCGGGGAACGCATTCTTGGCCAATGATCAAGCTTCTCGAGTTGTACGGTGCCTCCGCCATGCCCGCAAAAACCGCCGAAACGGCACGACATCAACCAATGCGGAACATCGCTTTTCGACCATGAATTGATCAGGCTCTGGCACCTCTCCCGCCTGGAACAAAACCCGGTCTTCAACGAGACTTGGATATCGGACTCCACCTGCGTCGGCCACAACGCGGACGACGTCCAGCCCTTCCACGATCTGTTCCTGGAAGAGCACGAGGGAGAGCCTGATGTGGTCGGGTCGGCGGGGGGCGAAGGTGTGGGTCCCCTCAAGGGGTACTACACAAACGCGGAGCTGTATGACCTGCTTCACCCGGCGGGCATGCAACTTCCGTACATGTACGACAACTTCGCGTGGCCGCACTGCGACGTGAGTGATGGTTGTCATTCTTTGTTGGTACCATATTTTTGTATCGCCGCTTCCCATTGTTGTATTTTGGGGCTTCTGGTGTTGCCAAGCGAGAGCGACCAGAGTACCTCACACGACAAGAGCGTTGGGCGGTGGATTCTGCGTTGTTGAACCTCGATCGAGCTGATCCCAATCTTGTGGGAGACAACACCCGCTTGGACCATCAGCATCTTTGTCGGGAAGGGGCGTCTCCATGGTGCCTCATGAAAGGCCGAGTCCATGGTCTGTGAACAACGCAACGCACTTGCGGTGGTGAAGGCCGCCGACTTTCACAGGTGCTCGTGTATTCAGCGCCAACTCACTGTTGTCGATTTCGTGGAGACAACAACGACTTACTCTCGATCTTACTTTCGTCGTGTTTGACCGATGGCAGGCCCAAGGAGTTTACATCAACTGACGAAGTCGGAGGTGATCCTGATGGTCTTCAGGCTGCACCGGAGTTCGTCGCCGATGGCGGCGTTATGGCATCGCAACGGACGTTCTTGGTTGTTGGGACTTCTTTACAAGTCGGCGTATAAAGGTCGAGGACTGCTGCTGCTTTTGTCGGTTGGTGCTGCTCACTTTATATGCATACAGCGTAGCCGGTTAGGGAGCATCTACCGCTGCTCAATGCCGCAGGGAGCTTCACGCGTTCTGGACAACGTCTGGGTCAGGGCGAGCTGTGGGTTACTTCGTTGCCAGCAAGTCTCTCCGCCCGGCTGTATCAAACAATCACTCACGGGCATGTAGTTCAGGCGGAAAGCTTGTGTTTAATTCGACGAGGGACCCGGTTCGGTCATCTCATATGTCCAAACTGGAGTGAAGGCGATGGCGGCGGCATGCGAGTAACGCTGCGTCGACAGCAATGTTTCGCTCGCTCCCAAAGCTGGGTAGCATGCATAGGCAAAAACGATTATTGCCGGGGAAAGTACCTATGGAACCGGAGGCGGTTTAAGAAGACCGGCGGCGCGTGCGACCGGGAAAGGAGGCATGGTCGATGCAGTAGGGGGATTTAAAGGCGCTTGGTCCGTCTCGGAAGGGTGTGTTGTGCCATCGCGGCATGATGCTTGGGCAGAGACGGGAGTCCTGAGCGCCCACCCACCGGGCTGGCAGCGAGCCCTAGTCTACGTAGTGTACATGTTGCCTTTCTTTGCGCCGTATGCCTGTGTAGATGGGGAGGGAGGGGGGGGTGCGTTCGTACATGCACTTGGCCTGCATGCTGAACAGCGGGCGGGTAAACGGGAGGCCGTGGAATGGATTTGATTGGAGAGGATGTTTCGTTTTCAAGCGCATAGGCGGCCCTCTCATGGTGAATGTCCGGTCGGGGGCACCGGAGACTGTTCCAGGTAGACATCGTCTGTAGTCTACTCCGAATGTTTTGGGAAGAGAGGAAACCGTCTTCCACAGAGGTTGGCACGGTTTTTGGTCCCGTTTATGAGGTTGATATATCGATTATTTTTGCAGTGTGATGACTCATGTCCGTCTCGGTCAGTGTCTCTAACTTTTCGTTCTTTCCTCGTTGTGATTTTGTATTCAACGCATGCATTATACAGCAGCGTTCATGGTAAACATATTCAGGTATCAAGTCGTCCCTCGGTTAAGGATACACATGGTTTTTCGGTAAGAAAGGTGGCCTGAAGCCGGCGAAGTGTCCGTAAGGTTGATACCCCTCCTTGTGTCGTATTTTCAAGTTATCCCTCACCGCGGGAATGTCCTGGAAGAATAGTGTCCTTAACTGAGGTTAGGGTTAGGGTTAGGGTTTGCGGGATGACTGCTGTACAGTAGTCTTGACCTTGAAATTGTATTTGCCGTCCTTAAGCGCATGTTGTACGGCGCAGTGCACGTTTGATTGTGGAGGTGGTCCTGAAGTTTCCGAGGTTTTGCTCCGTCTCTCTCATGTTTGGGCGTGCGTGCGTGCGTGAAACCCCGACGGAATGATACGTATCAGGGTGCCCTTACTACTTCGGTCGGGAAACGGCTGTGTGCATAAGTGAGCAGCTGACTGGGATTAGTATCGGTGTACACTTCTGTTCGTCTGGGGGATTGATATATGTTTCCCTCTACATTTGTTTGTCTTGGTCGTTGTTGCTGGTGTGGCTTAGCAAGAAAATGCGGTTCCTTCCGATCTCTTCCCAGTGATGTCATCCGCACGGGTCCGACCAATGCGAATGCCTGTCGTAGTCACAACGTACAACTACCCAATAGAAGGCCATACACCATCGGTGTAATTCTGAAGTCAAAGGGACCCAGAACATAATAACTATTTTGCGCCATTTGCACAATGCATTTGCACAATGCCCAAAAGACGGAACAGCAAGGCCCGAGACAGCCAGGCGTCGCAGGCGAAATGTCGGACAAAGAGTTGGTTCTGCCAATGTACAGTCACTCTTAAGGTACCACCACACCGTTGGACAGGAATCGGTCGAGCGAATCAACGGTGATGGAGTCACTAATTCACTAATGTGTTCCTTTTTCGCGGATGGTGGTCGTTGGGTCTCTCCCGCTGCGACCTGGCTGACACATCCTTGGATGCTCTTCCAATTTTGGACGTCCTTTTCGTATCGGCTTGTGCATACAGCGAGGAGACTGAGCGGAGGCCTTAAGCTGATACATGGAGGATACACACGGGGAAAGACCTGCCGCCGCTCACCGGCGGTGTCAGACAACACAAATGAGTCGCCGCCGCCCTCTCACAGCAAGCGATTGTCGCCAATTCAAATGGCACGGGTTCGTGAGAAGGAGGGTCCGCACAAGTCTAGCAAGATGTCAAGCATTGTGTGCCACATGACACATACCGACAATACGTATGTATCCCATCCCACAGCTTTCCGTCGATGAACAAGTAGGTATGGTGTTTCAAAACGTTTGACTTTCATTCTTTCATAAATTTTGTCATTTTCTCCGACACAGCAACGTTGCTGGTGTCCACGTGTTTTGGGCACCCAAGCCCTGCTTAAGCGATCTTGCGGGACAGAAACCGTCCGAGGTACTTGACAGGAGGAGCAGCGACCAACAAAATGCACCGACTATTTTCGCTGGCACACGCTTGGATCAGTCGCGGCGGTAGGCGAATCATGCGCATGGAAAGGCACGGGGTTATCGCAACCTATAGTCTTGGGATCTCGCGGTCTACCCCTTAATTGTACCCCCCCCCCCCCTCTCTCTCTCGCTCAGTCCTCCTCTACGCGAAGTACTCAAGAGCGACTTGTGAGAGGGCCATCCCGTCGGTTTGTCGAAAAAAAGAACATCACCACCACTCTTGCAAATAATGCCTCCGATTGGTCCCATGATCCCCGTCCTCCGGAAGTATCCCCACGGAGGTGACGTGACCGCGGCAGACCAGGCCAAAGCGGTCACAGCGTCACGGGGCGGAGACGTCGGGAGCGCGGCGCGATTCGAGCAGCAAGTCGCCGCGCATCGGTGCCGATCTGTCTGAGCGGCAGGAGTGCCCTGCGTCGTACGCGGTGCCGGTGACAGGTGTCAAGGCAGTGATTATTGTCAAGCACTGCAGTGTCAGTGAAATTGTAGCGCAGATAGCTCTTCGACGATACACTAGACAGAGCCACCAAGCGGGCGCTGCAACGAGAGCGTCACTAGTTCCACAAACCGCACCGAGCATGCCAACGAGCAGGGGAGAATGGAACCAACTCATCAAGGCACTTTGCGGCTTACGATTCTCGTACAACTCAGTAAAGCACAACAGCCAGCCGACGAGCCGTGTACAGCAGTTGAAGAAGGTGAAAATCTCGCAGGGATGGCCATAGAGCACTGTAGCGGGTGAATTGACTGCAGTGCAGCGATATTAGAGAGTGAGGCGTGAAGAAGGCGAGCTTACAGAAAAAAAAAGGTCGTAAATGGCAAAGCCAAAACCTTCCGGTGGATATCGTACCATCGGCAGCGCGGAACGACAACGACGAATCAACTGAGCGACAAGGGCAGATGACGGGTGGCAACTCCCTAGACAAGGGCATGCTCGCCGAAATGGCCAAGTTGATTCGCCAACAAGGCGGTGTCTAGGCGGGCGTGTGTCTAGGCGGGCACGTAGTCTAGACTATGCTTCGTACCCATCCCACGATGAATTAGACGGTGGCTGCTAGAAGCGCGTCTTGCTTGCCTCCGCCAAATGAAATTGCATCCGAGGGCGCGCAGGCCCAAGCGATTGTCCCACAACACGCTCCGGGTGTGTGGTAACCCCCCCACGGGGCCTAGACGCGTGCTATACGCCGAAAGCTCGGGGGGCTCTCAGGGTTTTCACGCTTGCAACAAAAGGTACTTCAAATTCACCACTTTCCAGACGGTGCTAGCGGCTGGGAGGTCGCGCTGGCATCGTTCGGGCCCCCTTACCTGCCGTTGTCGAATCCAACCGTATGTACAACTCCACTTCGGACGCCCTCGTCGAGGGCGCTGGGTTCCAGCCACCCGTGGACGCTGGAGTCGAACCCCGTTGCAAGGATCACGGTCTCGAAGGGAACCGTTGCCCCTGCATTCGTAGGCAAAACACGTTGCGGTACGCAGCGGGGGGTTATCGGTAAGTAGCAGTTTGGCCTCCTGTCGTTAAATGCACGTTTGTTTTCACGGCAACACACACGATTGTTCGAAGAAACGACGCCCATACACGACACGCGCACAAATGCTTCCGGTCGAGAATATGCTACCACCGCCACCACCAACCAACAGCACTGCGCCAGGGCCGGCAATACTTTACGCCGGCCATTCATCCCGCGAGGGAGAGGTGCGTGAAGGCAATTTTTCACCTAATGTCTTACTGCCGTCCAAACAGCAAAACAAAAATATTCATGACGTGGTTTCGCTCGCGCAGGGGCATGTGCAGGATGCGAACCCTCACGCGTCTGCGGACCCCCACACACCTGCATGCCCTCGGCTTGAGGTCCAAGGCTTGCCCTCGGCTTGAGGTCCAAGGCTTATTGGTTTGATCCCCTCGTAGACTATAAGCTGTTGGTGTCAAGCGTGCTACGTCGGCTCTCTTCGTGGCACTAGCCTTCTTGACGGAATTCTCTCTCTCTCTCTCTAGTCTCGAACAAATCACAGCATAAATAATATGTCTGGGTCTCGGGGCCAACCCCCCGGGCAGAAGGGAGGCGGATTCGAATAGTTAAAACTGCGACAGAGAGTCGGGGATATCGAGACGATAGCTCCAAAACCTTCAAGGAATATAAGGAAGATGGTTTCGAAACAGAACGCGTCACCACTCGCGATTCTGGGGGTTTAGAAATTGAGGCGAAAGTAGACACAAAACCGTTTAACTTGGCCGAAGTAACAGGCGCTTAGTCCAATCTCCTTTACTCAAACCTATATAGTCGATGTTGGGTCACCACACAGACCAAAAAAAAAAGGGAGAGGTTGTTAGGTGAGTTGCGCGTACAGCTACTGTAGTTTGACACGAACCGACAGCACCGTCACTGAGGCAAGGATATTCACCCGAGTGCCTGAACCGCAGCGTCTTCCCGTTGGCCCAGTCGATCGGCCCGTGCACCTTTATCCTGCCGCTCAGCAGCGACGGGACGAGGCTTCCCTTCGGGATCGCGATGGCCATGGGTAGCGGAGAACAAACACGAAAAAAGATACCATGTCAGAGTGTGACGTACGTTCTGTCGCGATACGAATACTGTACAGGATACAGGATAACACACCCCCTGGACCTATTTTCATAGCTCGATTTATCAACAGCAGAAAGAGTCGCAGCGCCGAAAACGGCGGCGTTGAAGCCGTCTGGTCGCGAGCTCTCCCAAAACGTATCGTTTCGTTTGCGAATCCTCTTCGTCGTGGAGTAACCGAGCTGCGAAAATCGGTCCAGGGGGTGCGTAACCTTGTGTTGTTTACGATACTATTATACCCTACAGGTGCTCGAGGGGCCGGCGATGCAAAGGTCAAGTGAGCTGCTGCATTCAGCTAAAGGTAGCATCCCGCAGCAATATTGGACTGTATGGTTGCGCTTAAAGAATCGATCGGAGCTCCACCTCTGGTGGGGGTGGGTAGGGGGAACAGGTGGCTGTTGGCATCGGGATCCCAAATTTTATTGCTGGCAAGGGAATCGGGAATGCATAGCTGTCAGAATCTTTGCCCAGATGTCACGCTTTACCTGCCTGGGGGCGCCAAGGGCGAGGTGGTTCTCAGACCCGCAGCAAGCAGGAAGGATAGTTGATGAGATAATGTTGGCCACAAGGATTATTATTGACGATTTGTCCAATCCCGACTTCTATCTAAAACTGCTGCGCTGTTGTAGTCTTCAGGTTGCAGCCGGAACTTGCTTCTATCCGGTTGTGCCCGTTGTCCTACGCTTTTCAAACGGAGAGAAAAAAGTGTCCGTCGATCACGGAAAACGCCAGCCCAGCATAAGGAACACCCAAAAATGAAACCGAAAAGCCCGCAGAGTGAATACTACGTGCTCACGTCGCGAGTGAAATGGAAGCCTTGGGGCGCGAGCCGTTACTCTTTGGATCGAGCTGCGCGGGGAACTGAACAAGAGATTGAGAGACGTACGCCTACACAGAAACCGATGGCCTCGACTTTCATCGTTCGTATGCATTACCAAAACCCAAACGACACCAAAAACGATGCTCCATATTGTACCGTGGGAACTAGGGTCTCGAACTACAGCCGGTCGCCCCGGTGGTCTAGTCGGTATCCTCGAAACCTTCTAGAGGTCAGGTCGGGGGTTCGAATCCCGGCGTAAGCGAGCTTTTCTTGCAAAGTGTGTTTTTCTCTCGCTCCGCTCCTGGCCTAGTGGATAGCGCTGGCGCTAGTTCGTGTGTACACAGAGGCTAGTTGGTATCCTCAAAACCTTCTAGAGGTCAGGTCGGGGGTTCGAATCCCGGCGTAAGCGAGCTTTTCTTGAAAAGTGAGTTTTTCTCTCGCTTCCGCTCCTGGCCTAGTGGATAGCGCTAGTTCGTGTGTACACAGAGGGAAGAGACTGCTGAACTCTTCTCGCATTAAAAATCGAAGGCAAAGTACCGCAGGAGGCGAGGGTAGAGAGGGGCTCTTCTGTGTGACCACGGGTTGGAGTAAACGGCCCTAGTGCTGTGAGCGCGGATTTGAAGTGAAAAAAAGAAAAAAAAAGTAACAGGGTCCTAAAACCAACAGGCATTTCCCTGCTGCCGGCTGAAAACCTAGGATTCTTAGGCGAGCCGAAGTGGATGTCCATGAACACAGGCGCAAAAACCAACCTTGTCGATGCAAGGTACCCGGTTGGAGGAGCACGCACTCCAGGTCTGCCGCACGCCGGGTGGAAACACCCTATCCCTCCAGCCCCTGCCCCACTTGGCGGCCGCAAACATCGACAGCACCTTGTCGATCGCCCGAGCCGGTAAGAATTGCACCGCTCTTTCCGTTCCGGGGAGTGATTCGAGGCGATGATGGGTGGGCGGGGAAGTCGCGATATAATTGGTTGTGTGTGTAGCGGTCGACTGTAACGCCATTTCTGTCTCTCCAATTTCATTCGCGTCGCAAGGCAATCGTTCGGGGTTTCGTTTTGCTGTTACCTTGGAGTTGAAGGGTGTTGCTTCGTTGGCCTGTGTGACCATGCAACACGTCCGCGCCAGTTGGACCAGTACCGACGATATCAAAATGCACTGAGAACGAGACCGGAAGGGTTTTTAACGTGAGGACAACACCACCACCAACACCACCAGCACCTTCGGACGACAAGAGCCAAACAACGATGAGCCAACCTCTCACAAACAGGACGGCCGCGCTAGCCCGAGAGGCGAAAGCAAACTAACCGTTTTCGAGAAAAACGTTCGCACGACGCCACGTGAAACGGGCTTGAAGACATCGTCGAGATAGACGGAGACTAGGCGACGTTGTGCTTCAAAACCGCGGGTGTCGTACAACGTATGCCTGACGACGTGCCGTGAAGCCGTAACTTGCACCAAGAGTGTGGACCACAGAGACCGTTTTTCGTTCCTCCCCAACGCCCCTATCCCCAGTGTGAACATCCCAACACGCACCTGGAAACCCACTCCAAGGAGAGCGGACCCCACTGCCGCATGATGATCGGAGGTGCCGACCTCGTGGAGATGTGAACTCTGTCTAGGCCGTTGGCCAGAAGAGCTGATGTGGGTCGAGCGGGGTTCATTTGCGCAGTCATGAGGGAGAGAGAATCGATCATATCTAGCAGGCATGCAAGCGACGTGCTGCGGCGGGCTCCGTGTCAGAAGTTTAAATGCGGGGAGGAACGGCAACGAGTTACCCTTGACTGAAATATGGTCGGTTTGTTGTACCTTGGATTCGTGTCTACATGCGGATTGAAAGCAAACTAAATGCCAGCGAGTTCTGTAATTGCAAACTGGAAATCCCTACAACGACGCGTCCTTGCTCTGCTGGTTTCCGCGTTACACATGGTGTATCACATGATGATATTCTGGGCCAAAGAGAACATTCTACAAAAACTAAACCGTCGAGACGGTTTGCTGCTAAATGTCGAAACACAGCGTGCTTCTGCCTTAGCTCACCCACTGCGAGATCACACGCGCTGTTACCCATGCCGACGATGCAGATGCCGCCGCCGCTGGCCGCCCTCGATGCTAGGGCCTTGGCTTCACTCGAGTGAAAAACCTGGAGCAGCGTGTTTAGGAAATGTATACGGGCGGTTGGGGGGGGGGGGGGCACGCTAACGCGTCAACAACGGTAACAACCGCTAGAAAGGAAAACAACGATAACAGCTTGAGCAGCAAATATCATCATCATCATCAACAACAACAACCAGGCAGCCCAATATGAATCCCCCTCACCTCCCCGGAGAAGCCTCGGAGGTTCTCCAACACCGTGGAAGGCATTCTCGGGGATGAACACTTTCCCGTAGCGACGACGACGTGATCACAACGTACCACGGATACCGCCGTTTCGCCTCTCCTACCACCAAGAACAGGCGAGAGGGAGGGAAAGCAGAGGAGGCCTAGTCAAGGGAGAGGTTAGCAATGTCCCTTTACGCGGATCGACAGGCATCGAGTAACCCAACAGTCTCAAGGGCAGGCTCTTCAGGGAACCGACCTTTCTTCTCTCCCTTCGTGTGTATGCTTTGCACACGAAGACACCACGGCGCGAGACATCAAGCACAGAGGAGTATACACACCTCGATCGCATAACCACCGGGGGCGCCATGAAGGCAACACGATCACAGCCGTGTCGTCAGCCACACGCAAGTCAATACTCCTCACACTAAGCAAACAACAAAGTACCGTCCGGAAGCAGATATAGTTCCACCAACCAGCCACAGGCAAGCCCAACCTCCCCATACCCAGGAACAATAGAGTACCATCGGAAGCGGACTTGAATTCCGCCAGCCCGAGCACCGGCATTCCCCCGGCGGGTCGACGGCGACACCGCCTCTCGCTCCGCTCCAAGGACCTCGGTCTCGGTGAAGACGGCCAGGCCGAACCGTCGGCGGTAAGCCCGCAAGTATCGCACGAAGCTCTGGGCCGACATCTCGTCGCCGGCGCCGGTGGCATGGTTGTCATTGCTGCTGTTGCTGTCGATAGTAAATCCGGACCCGGCGTTGGTGTTGTTGGCAGGAGCGATGTCATCCGCGCAACCGTTATCGCAGAAGCCTTCGGGCGGGACAGGCCATCCCGGAAGGCCGCAGTGCCGCCGTCTCGTCGTGATTCGCAGTCCCTCGTACTGCCGAGCCCAGGCGCCGCAGAGGCTCTCCGACCTAGCTCCGCGAGGCAAGAGGAAGCAAGAAAGAGAGGGGCGTGGAATGGATGTGTGCGGCTAGCGTGGAGATAGCCCTGTGATCGAGCAGGACGTCAATACCGGTGGGAAATTTCCGCGCCCTCTCGCTCCAGATCAAACGTCTCCTTGAAAGGTGGTTAATGCCGCAACCGATTCGATATTTCAGGCTTGTTGAGAGCTAATCTCAGCCCCTAGGCTCATTTCGACAGAGGGCGAATTTGAACGGAGAATGCTCTACGGTTGTGGGTACCGGCCACGACGCCCAGTAGCAACCAACGCGAACCAGCCGGAACGGGGAAGTGGAGCTCTGTTGGTCCACGGCCACAGATTGGACCCCTCCGACGGAGCCGATAGTTCTCAGGAACATCAACGTCCATATACACCAGTGACAGCTCATGATGTCAGATCAGCAATATCGACCACAGCTTAATCTTCGAAAACAAAAGCCCCCCGCTCCCCACCTCTCTAGGATGACGACCCCATCCTCGCCTCGAGCCCTCAAACACGCCGCGGCGCTAAGCCCGCTGGCGCCGCCTCCGACGACGACGACCCGGCAATACGCTGGCGGCCGCCGCCGCGGCTGCGGCTCTGCTACATCGGAATAGCCTCTGGCGGGACAATCCATCTCCGACACCCCGGTACCCACTCGCACGCCAAGACTACCAGGGATCCTCTCCTTGGAGCTCTCGCGCCAACTTGTGTCAAGTGGGGGTGGTGCGGGCGAAATACCGTCGCAGCTTTCCCGTAGTCCATTCCGCGATGCCCCCGTCGCGGGGATTCGGTCCTGGGGGTCTCTCGGCCCCGTGAACGGTGCCCGTGTCGTCGCTTGTACGTCGGCATCGTTACAGTGGTATTTCTTCTGCACTCCTGCCTGGTTCGGAAAGATAGCCATTATCCCTGGGGTCCTGGCGGTTTGCCCTGCCGCCTGGAACTCGATATCACTAGGCAGCATTCCCGGCGAAGGTGACGGTGGTCCTAGCCCTGGCACTGGGGACGTGGTGCGGCTACGCATTCCACCTTCGCCATTGCTCACGGCCGCACTGGTCCCGCCTCCGCAGCCGTTGTCGTGGCCCGACCGCCCGGTGGTCACCGACACCCCACCAGGCCGGGGCAAGAACCCCCCCCCCTCTTCTCGCCACCGTGCGGCGCCACCGGCGACGCCACGGGGCCGAGGCATCACCCCCCCCTCCCCTGGCCGTGTAACCCCCTTGAACTCCCCGGAGTAGTACTCGTCGACCGGTTCTTCGGAGTCGGTGGTGTTGCCACTCTCGACTCCACCGACAAAGTCATCGTGCCGTGGTGGCTTGGAGATGGTGATCGCGGTGGTACCAGCAGCAGGAGACGAGGGCCACGAAAATGGGACGGAAAACCCGCAATCCCCGGCCGCCTTGAGAATGGTCGCCATTCGGCCGACGTCGACCTTGCCGACCTCATGGTGTGCCCAGCCCATGCGGTGGTGGACGATGGCGGCCGCGTGGCAGGCGTAAAGCTACAGAAAAGATAACCAAGACACAAGGAGGCCGAGGGTACGAAAAGTAGACATCGCTCATCGAACAAAACAGCACGGATGGATGCGCCACGCCTGAGTGGGGGAGAAGATCTGGAGCGCCCAAACTTTCGTGTTCAGCAGCTTTGCCTCTACTTCGTCACTCCAAGGCTCCCTGTCGTTTGTCGCTCTCGGTGAAATATGGGAAGTCCTCGCTACGGCTTCTGCCGGTTGGAGAAATGGCGTCAGTAAGCCACGAGTCACATAAACTCACTTAACGCAAACAACGAGTCTAATACACGTTCCAACATTTTTGGTTTCGTTCCATGAGGTCTGGGCGTCAGACATTAATCGGTAGCAGGCGTAATAACCCCCATGGTCGATGTCCGGTATGGTCGGTTTTGAGTGCCGGCGGCGAGTGAACGGCTCGTGACCAACTTCTATCGCGGTTCTTATCAAGGGGTCGAGAAAACAACACCAAAACGTCAAGCTCAACCTGCGAAACCCTTTGACCGACGCCAAACCCACAAAAAAACAAGAAGCCTTTGCGTTCCTACCTGATCGAACGGCAACAACACGTGAAACCGGCGGGGAGTGCAGCATGAAAGGTCCATCCGCACGATGCCTCCGGTCACTCTGGTGACGTCAGGCCGATGTCCCTCCAACGGGCAAGGCACCGCAAACACAACAGCCGATGCTTTCAAGGGAATGTTTAGCCTGGCACGGACGGGAACGGCGGGGCACAGCAGATCGATACGTTTCGCGCGGGCGGGGGTGGACAGGGAGTCAGACCCACGAAAGTCCGGGTGAACACGCAGTCCTAGTCTACCAGTCCGTGGTGGGTGCCCATTGTCGCTACCCTTTTCCTTGAGAGCAGACGGGGGAGACAATGCGTTGGGTTAGGCGGACTCTCGTGTGGTGGCTGTTCATGTCAGCAAACCGCTGGCCACGGGACCGTCGGCGCCCGAGAGCGGGCACCACCCTGTCAGTCGAAAACACGGGAGGAGCGGGTTGAGTTTTCTCACCTGACGGAAGTGTCGAACTTTCCCACCACCCAGAGCCTGAAGTAGACTCCCTCGTCCAACCGCCTCGCCCTCTTCAGCTCCCCGGCTCTGTTCTTCACCCCCGTTTGCTGCTGCTGCTGCTGCTGCTGCTGCTGCTGCTGCTGCTGCTGCTGCTCCTGCTCCTGCTCCTGTTGTTGTTGTTGCAGCGAAGCCAGCTCCCGCACGAGACACGCGAAACGCTCGTCAGAGGAAGTGCAGCACACGACGTCGTACCCGTCCAACGCTAGCCTCAGAGCCACAGCACGCCCCACCTGCAGTAATATCAGTGTTCGCAGAGAGGAAAGGTACGACGCGATCCACAGTGGTACACACAGCGAAGATAATCAGTAAACGATGACGCTAAAATGAGCAGCACGGGTTGAGACTACACCCGTGTGAAACATGTGATTCATCACATTGCTCCAGCAAGGGTGCGATAACCCGCAATTCAAGCTGTCTTTGGAGGGTGCAGAGACACGGACAGACACACAGAGATGAAGAGACAGAGGGACGGACGGTCGGACAGACAAGCAGACAAGACACACAGAAGGGCGGAGACCGAGATGGACAAGAAATAGAACATGAAAAAACAGACAACCTCAAGGGGGGAGGCCGACATAATAAGTGCGAAATCGCTGCTAGTGGTGCGCAAATCGATCGGCGCTGTTGCGCAGGGGTGAATACAGCTAAACATACTCCATCCGGTGGCCCCGTGGTTGTGATAGGGATACCTTTGACGTAGCCCCGGTCAAGAACACGCAAGGTGTGTTGCTGTTGCCGGTGCTGGTGCACTCAGGGGGATCGCCGGTACCAGTGGCGGTATTATCCGAGGAGGTCGCCTCAGCAGCGGCGGCAGCGACTGGATATGCGGCGACGGCCGCCTTGACGTTTTCCGCCACGACGGCGGCCGTGAGGGTGTTGCCGTGAACAAGCCTGCCAAAAGAGAAGCGGAAAACCGTCCCGCGGGGCAGGAAGTGCGGCGAGGGGTAGTTGATCAGCACACCTGCGCCTCAACATCAGAGGACGGCACAATGCAGCCTTAAAATATTCACTGCAGGGGGCGAGAACGGTAAGGGTTTGCCGGCCAGGCGGCAGAGGGAGGCCCGCAATGTGCATTGAATAGGGGAATTCAGCATGGTATTGGGGGAGGAGGGGGGGGGGGTACTCATAGTCGTGCATGCCGTAGTCGTTAGACCATTGACCTCGCATCCCTACAAAGCCGGGACGGAGCACGCCGGGTTCTCACCGGGCCAGGCTCTCACATCACCAAGCCCGAAGCGCCGTGAGGTATTCGGCGAGTCGCATGAAGGGTGAGCTGCATCCTGCTAAGGTTGTTCGGCATCTTGTGCTTACTTCCTAGGGTACGGATGACAGCTGCGTATGACTTAATTTATTTTCTGGTACTTTCACTGCCAGAGACAGTTGTAATCACTGTGTAACTGCCTCGAGGATGCTTTACCATTTTAACTCAACGTGGTGCGACTATCCCCTTTGCGCGGAGTGACGGTTCTCGACCCCGCACAACATGATCTATTCCACCACCGTTCATGGCTACCGCAAAAAACAAGAAAAAAGACAAAGAGCAAAAAAGCGGTAACCTGGATGCCGAGCTGACGAAGTGATCGGCTTGTTTTACACCGTCGTTGTCAAGCGACGACAACCCAACCCCGATGGCAAAAATCGGGGGGGGGGGCGGGTTGTTTTACAACGTCGTTGCCAAGCGACGAAAACCCAAACCCCGACGGCAAACACCGGGGGGGGGGGGGGGGGGGGGTGTTCCTCCCC